GCCGATTATATCGTGCATCACTACTTTGTACCTCTTGAGTTTCCATCACCTGTGAAAGATTGTTCCCCCTTTTTACAAAAGCTGAAGTTTACACTTGTAGTCTGAATTTGAATACCTCTGATTTTGAAGTCAAAGGAGCCTTGGATCCGAACAATAGTCCTTTATTTTTATTTTTTTTTAAACTGTAGTCCAAAGGAACCTTTGTTCTATTGTTTCCCTTTGCTGCATATGCATTACTTTCTGTTATGTTTGCTTCTCTCTGCAGCTTTCAGCATGGAGACGTGCAAACTGATGATCAACATGCTGGATGTATCCTTCAGACGTTATTCAACCATCCTCTCTTAGATTGAAATGGTCCTAAAATGACATGTTTTGCACATAAAAAAGTGTCACTACTAGTTATAACAAAATGGAGTCAATGGTTCATTTCAGTCACTTCGAAAAATCTGAGATTCTGGTTGTCTGTGAGACTGCTAAAAGCTTTTATTATTTCATCAAATGGATATAAGCTGTTGAATTTGTGGGTTATGAATCTAAAAATACTCATATTCAATATTATTTTACACATTTTGTTCAATACACAAGTTAATATTTAAGAAAAACGAATCTTGATGACAAACACATTTTCAAATCTGCCTCATGGTCAGCATGAATGCAAAGCCCTGTTTTATCTAAATAAATTTAAAAAATCTGTATTTTCTTTTCTAAATTTTGGCCTCATACAGTTTATGAACTTTGGAAATGTTTTTTCTACATTAATTGCTGAAAGCTGCACATAAAACAAGCTGTTCTGAGTAAATTTTAAAATAAAGTAAGAGAAAATGCTTTTTTCACAAACCAGCCCAGGTTTTCTATCCATAAACGGTCTCTATCCACCATCTTTAGGCTCTTTATTCTGCTGTTGTTTTGAGACAACTGGGCTAAGAGATTAGCATTTGAGTAAAAGTAAAAAACTCCAGTACAGTTTTCTATGCTTAGAAGAATCATAACCTTTATAGACAGAAACGTCTGCATGTTCTGGAGATAAAATTAGTTAAATTCAGTTATTATAAATTCTAGTCTTTCAACATTTCTATTTTCTCAGTTGCTTTACCTTTTTTTTTTTTTTCTTAAATCTCACGGAATCGTGTTAAAACTGTTAAACCTTAAACCACATTGTGGACAAACCAAAAAGCTTCCAGGTATCAGGGGGTTTTACCAACCACAAAACCACAGATGCAAACTGTTCCAATAAGCAAATGTGAGCCATGGATGGAACGGATAGAGTAGCCATTAAACAATAAGAAAGAGAATATATATATATAAATATATGCAACTGTTGTTTTTACAAATATTAGTTTAGAAAAAATGTTTAATTTTGCTTTAACCTAATTCTTAAGAATATTAAGTAAACGTAGATTTAAATCCAGAGATTGGAGCTATTCTGTTTTTGTGATAGAAAGAAGGGATAACAAGAAGTAAGTGAAAATTCCTTGACTGGAAATGCTTTCTTAGAGGGACATGTCTGGGATGATGGGTTTCAACGAGTTCAAGGACCTGTGCCAGGCCCTCAACGGCTGGAAAGGCACCTTTACATCCTTTGACCGGGACCACAGCGGGACAGTGGAGGGCCATGAACTGCAGCAGGCCATCGGCACAATGGGTAAGGACAGTTTGAAAGATTTGCTTTGTCACTTTTGACTCTTTAAAACCGCTTGGATATTTCTGCTGAAATTAAGTTTTTGTTTTAAGGCGCATAGCATGATTAAGACAATTTTTTGTAAATCCCTCACCGTTTTTAACATTGTGTTTATGTACCGTAGGCTACAATCTAAGCCCTCAGGCTATGAACTGTATCATGAAGCGCTACAGCAACCATGGCAGAATTCCTTTTGATGATTTTGTGAGTTGCTGTGTGAGACTCCGTGCCCTGACTGGTGAGTAAATCATGGGTTCATATGAGACACTGAAGG